CGCTCTAATCGCAATGATCACCAATAATGGGGGCCTTGAATGGCCTCGGGGCCAGCACATTGGGACAGAGGGCTTCTGGACCAGAGTGGACCGGGGGAATTGTGGAGGGTCAGAGGGCGTCAGTCGGTGAAGCGTGCCCCCCTGGCCCCTGGATCATTATTGACATCACCTTTTATGCCGTTCACGCCAGTCAGACATCCCTGCTATGACAACCTAGGATATTGGTGATTGGTGAGACGGGGGCAGCGGTGAGGCTGAGGAATCCTCGATCCTCTTTCTGCTTGCTAGCGAAGCCGCCAGGCTCCTCAATGGTCGAATGGGCAAGTTTGGACTATTTGCAGTTAATTACACCAGCATCCAGCCAGCCAACAGCAACGAAAAGCAGCAAAAAAGGCGGCAGCAGCTCGGGAGCAGCTCGGCCAACTGCTATTCTTGGAGGAATGGCTGACTCATCATTATTGGGCCCACTGCGTACGAGGAGCCCACTTCGTATCGCTTCATCCTTTCTGACTGGCTGCCCTGCTTTGGACCTGGCATCCTGGCCAATCAATTGGTGATACTGCGAGTATTACCAGGCACCAGATACCGTCCACGTACCCTCGTTACCTTCAATACCATCGATACTCTCGATACTCTCGATACGTCAGGGGGGCTGATCCATTCCCATTCCCTTTTCGAACGCCGCAGAGCTCCCTGGCGACAATGCGGTTCACGGTTCCCCGGAGTTGTAGATCAGATGCAGCGCTCAATTGGGAATGGCCTGGGGTATACAAAAAGAAGCCCTGCTGCTGTGTCTCTTCTTTTTCAGCTTCACTAGACTTGTACTATCTTAACCCTCTATTCATTTATTCATCTGTTCATCTATACTCTATATAATTTCCCTCCCTACACATCGTCCTTTTGACTTCGTTTCTACACCTCATCTTTATAGATCTCATTAGCGCACAGTTCAACACTGGCTGCCCTTCGAGATTGCATCAGCCATATACCCGTCCTATCTCGCGGCCGGCCTTGTCAATTGTCCATTCCCGACTCCTGTCCAACCCGGATTCTTTGGACTCTTTCTGTCTCTTTTACTCTTTTCAATCCAATCATACCACCATGCCACATAAAGTCACCAACGACTCCAATTCTACCTTGGCCAGCGGAGACAGTAGCACCAGCGACCAAGCCATTGCTACAGAAGCCCGTGGTATGTCGATCCAGTCCCAGTCCACCCTATCTCTAGATTCAGCCCGGCTAACTCAGACGCGTACCCCGGTCAGCCGCCAATCCCGTTCGCAAACCTCCCGTTATTGTCCATAATAAAGGCGGCCAGATCTACGACGAGACCAGGCCGTCCGACTGGGACAAACAACGCTGGAAGTAACATTCCGGCGGGCCCAAATCTGGGGGCGATGGCAGCGTGATGGGGATCTGACGGGCAGGGAGCAACAAGGGAAAGAAGCAAGCAAACAGGTTGGGGAAGGACTCCAAACCAGGCAACACTGATTATCCGCGCGGCTTTACGGCGTACCTCGACCCTCAGCTGTACGACGTGCGCGGGACATACGAATGCCACCTACGATGAAAAAGGAACTATGAAAGCGACCAACTGGGACAGGCCGGAAATGAGCCACTGGCCAGCCAGCATAGCGGTGGAACTGCATTATTCACGGCAAATGGCAAATGGCAAATCAGCGGCAGCCTTGGTCCCGGACTACTTTCCCCCCCCTTTTTTTTCCCTTCGGTTTGCTTGAGGACACTGGGAGGGTCTAGTATCCAAAGTATCCGTCGGCCCCGAAAAGAAGGGATGAGTGGGCGCCAGCCGTGCCTATCGTCACCGCTATGCTCGCTATGCCGCTATGCCCGTCTCGCCATACCGCTTTACCCGCGATCATCTCCCCCTGACCAACTTTCCGGGTGGTCTGGCCCCTCGTCCTTTTCCTTCAGACTTGCCGTTACCCCGTTGCCAACTGGCCTGCTTGCTTGCTATCACTATCGGGGAGCGAATCCTCACCTTCCCTCTCGTGTCCCTTGGCTCATTTTGCCTATTCTGCCCCGGATTTATTTCACGCCGGAGAAGATGTGGATCCCCCTTCGTTCCCTATCCTGCCCCCCTACATGGTGTCTCTTTTCCCCTTGTATCATTATCTGGAGTTCTTGGGCTTTTTCGGCGTCTGTCTAGCCCGTCCTTTGCGTTCTTTCCTCTTTGGCTTACCTACCCTATAATCTGCACTCTCCAGACTGGATGTGTACGGTGACTTTGGTTTGGTTCATTTTCCACTCTCTACTCCTCCTCTCCACACCTTTTCACACCAATCGCCCTTTCCCTTTCTTTTCTACTCCCTCGATTTACTTATCATGCTCGTGCACCCGCCTGATTTGACCTTATCGACCTCCGGGAGCGTTACACGTGTCATATTATGTTTACGCACATACCTTGCAGGGTTACTGCAGGTGTCTAGCGCTGGAGGGACCGTCCCCCAGCTCTGTCTGGCTTTTTTCTAACCTACCCTTCTAAGGTGTAGTGTGTTATTATTTATTCTGTTGCTTTAGTTGCGATGCATAGCGTGGAGAAATTGGGGTTTGGGTTACTCCACTGGGTTATTTTTCTTTTTGCGAATGAGCGGAATTTGTTTTTGGAAACTTCTATCTGTGCTACTGGACACAAATCTGGAATACTGATTATCTTGTCTCGAATATATTGAGACCATTGAATTCAACCCGGTCGGAAATGGGACCCTCTTTACTACTTGGCTTATTGGAAATTGCTGTATCCTCTTTTCTATAGACTCAATGGGTACGCTGTGATCCACGGTTACTCCAGTTAGGTACTGGAGTTCCTAATAGATACGGCGTCTTGATTGGTGGTTGGTGCGGTGATTCCACGGTTGAGAGCTCCTGGACCCACATGGAGTGTTTACCTATTTCCGAAATATGGGGAAGCTTCTGGTGTGGGATGTCCTAGGCATTGAGGTAAGTCGGGTTAATTACAGATGGGATAATAGTGGTAGATCAGGTGCTGGCACTCAATGGTTCGATCCACTATGCTTAGATGCAGTAAACCCTGAGTATGTAGTTGGAAAGGTGTCGGTACGGAAATTGGTACAGCTATCTCTCGTATCGACAGCAGTCTGAGAGAGAATATATTTTGTCCTAATGATAACCCCCCCCCTTTTCAATACAAAATACTACACTCGAAACTCACTGGAAGATACCTGTCAAGTCTTATATATAATTCATATTAATACTTCTCGTTAATATATTGAGCAACTGTAAACGCGACCTTCATCTATCTATCCCCATAATAGACTAAGTTATTATTCTACTCCACCTCCTACTATCACCCTTTTTTAGGATCTTTTTTAGGATCTTTTTTAGGATCTTTTTTAGGATCTTTTTTAGGATCTTTTTTAGGATCTTTTTTAGGATCTTTTTTAGGATCTTTTCTAAGGTCTTTTCTACGGTATTTTCTAAGATATAGGCTTATACATACATAAGGACTCGACTGGTATTTTGTAAATCTCAAATGTAGCAATCTGTTTTGAAGGGGGGGGGCGCTCATTAGGACTAGCCTTGTCGTGCCATGAACTTTTCTGTCGTGTCGTTAATGCCATCCTATATTTTCACGGGTCTGTCCAACAGTAACGAGCCAATCCTTCGGCCAGGAGCCACAAAACACTGTAACTATCATGGCAGCAATGAGATGAAAAGTGAATCTAAAGAAAGCGCGGAATATTCCCCTCGGTGGTATCCTCAAGCCCAACGGCATAGGTATGGTGCCTACATGTATAGAAATGCAGGGTAAGTTTAAACAATCGAACATGAGTGCATAAAAACCTTAGCCGAATCCAAGTGTCCTCTCCATTACCCATTACAAGTAGGATTATCCCAATACTCATCTAAGTTACAGCTTTCTCAAGACTGATACGACCAAAATTAAGAATAACCACAGAATTGTATTTCATTCGTGGGCCATGTGGCAGTCTCGAATCCAAACAGAAAATCAACAGGAAGCTCCTTCACTCTCCACACCGCAGCGGACAAGATCAGGGCCATGTTTAAAAGCTAGGTACATAAAGATAAAAGCGGTGTTGGGGAGGCAAACAGGGGGAGCTAGGGTGGGGAGCTGGGGGATAAGTGTCAATCTTGGGTCTCCATTGCCCATGGTGAATATCCCCAGGAGACTTCAACAATTGTTTTTGTCGGTTTTGGTGCTTTTTTTGCTTTTTTTGTGTGCGGCCTTCCTATTTACCAGCCACAGTGGGGTTGAGTAATGGGATGATCCAGACACATTAAAGACTTTTTCTGGAGGGGAAGAGGGGAGGGTGTTTGTATTCGGGGGGGACAGTTTGTGCTGTGTAACGATCGTCAGGAGTTGGAGGTATGCAAAGGCGCAGCGCTCGCGGGCGCGCAGCAAGAGAAGAATATCGAGAAGGGACTGGAAAGACCCTATTCGACATGAGATGCGAAGTGAAGTTGTAATATGGGATAGGGGGGGATCGGGGGCAAATGATAGCGATGCAATGGGAAAAGATCAAATAAAACACAATATGGCTCGCTCTTGCAATGCTAAGAATAAATGCAAATGGTGACCCAGGAACGATGGGGGATAAAGATAAAGAGAGAGGTGGGTATGCAATTTTTGGAACAAGAATGTGAAGATCGAATGAAAAGGCTGGTCTTCGACTTCGGTTCTGCAGACCGAAGCCGTATGCAAAGCGTGTGGAAAAGATGTGGTTAGATGGCGCAGATAGATAAGGCTAAGTTCGAGGTGATGATGGCCCAGTATCGACGAACACAAGATGGTGGCGGTAGAATCGTGATTATTAGGATTGAAGATGTTGATGACGTTGAAATCGAACAACGCAAAAAGCATGACGCTCCTTTTTGATTAGTGTTCTATGCGGTTGAGATCGACAAAACGGAGGCGGGACTGTGAATATGTGCATGGCACCGATACTTTTCGTTGAAAAGATGGCGACAGCTTTCTTCTGTCGTCCATATTGCGTCTTCCTCTACATCACAGCCGAATAGGTCGGGTCAATTGCCATCTGAGAGTGAGGTGGGAACGGCGGGAGTTGCTGCGACTGCTGAGCGAGGTACATGGCTTCCTGTTGCTGGTAGGCGTCGGTGTGCATGTACTGCATCTCAGTCTCGGGCGCGGGCGACGGGGAGCAGCCGTGGGTGGTCGGGATACCTCGAACCATCTCCTTGTTTGCGGCCATATGGGCCTGTGCGGCGAATGGCCCGTTCTCAGGAGTGATGGGTGGTGTCATGTATCCATGTGGGACGGCAGTCAGCTGCTGGGACTTCTGAGGCGTAGCAAGCCCCATCTCTCCGCTGTAGGGCTTCGACTCCACGGGAATCTCGACCGGAGGGGTGCAACGAGGATAGCTGGCCAAAGAAGCCTGGCGGCTGAGGAAGTTCTCCAAGATCTTGGAAACCCGAGAGAAGTGGGACGAGGCATACTTCCGAGCAACCACGGTCGACGGCTGGTGAAGCTGCTGTGAGAGACCCACGAGAGTCGTCGAGTCATACTGGGCAGCCCAGTCAGTGTGGCGAGGTTGGGGGCGGTTCAGGATGCAACGAGAGAGAGCCAATGCAGCACGGGCGAGTTCAGATGACGGCTTGGACACGAAGTCACGGTAGAACAGGGCAATCTCCAGGATATAGAGAGCCATGTGCTCGACCTCGGCGTCAAAGGGCTCGTCCATGATGGCAATTGAGAGGAACTCATCCACAGTTGGGTGGCCAACGGACCAGCCAAGAGTTTGCAGAACGTGCCATTCCATTTGAATGAACATGTCATCATCGTAGAGAGAGCAGCACATCGACTTCAATTCCTTCACGGTGGGGACACGATCCTTCTTGTCATTGTACTTCGCGGCGATAAGGAGAGCTGCACAGCCCACCAGCTGGTAGTGGCGCTTGTAGACCACACGCTTGGAGCAGTAGCGGTCCAACAAGTTGATTGCCAAGAACAGAGTCGAAGGCAGGAGTTGGAAGGCAGTGTGGGCCTCAATCAGGAAGTCAAGGAGGTAAGGACGCATGAACCATTGGATTTCGGTCTGAATATCGATCGACTCCACGTCAGGCAGAGTTTGGCCCTAGAAAAAGCACGGCAAGTCAGTAAAGACCGCAATACAGATACGACAACCAAAGGTCAAAACAACTCACATCCATCTCCAGCATTTGCTGCAGGACATCGTCACGAAACTCCGCGCAGGTGATTCGAGACAGCTGGTTGGCCATAGCATATTGCCGCTCACGAGCAACGAGCTTATCGTGCTCCTGTTTGGCCTGCTTCTCGGCCTGCATCCGATAGTCATCTTCAATGAAGAAGGTGTCACACGGCTGGTAGCCAGAACGAGGACGAACGTAATCCATGACGAAGGTCGAAGATTGCGAGGAGAGAATGGAAAAAGACGAAGGTTGATCAGCTTTGCAAAAGACCGGGAAGAAACCTGAAGGACGAAGAGTCGAGCAGGTCACGACGGAAGTAAGAGAGTGACAGTCGTCGAGATTAAGTGATTAAGAGCGAAGGAATGGGAAGAAGTTGGAAACTGATGAAGGAGTGTGGTTCCAGCGTGAAGACAAAAGCCTGGTAGCTGGGAGGGCGAGAATCGAAAACAAGACAAAGCCGGAAGCACAGTGGAGGAAGTCTTCCAAGGTCGAAAGCTGTTGTGATTAAGAGAGGATTAGTGATCGATAGCCAAAGGCGGTGATTAGAGATTAGATTAAGACAGCGACGAAGGCTGGTAGGCAATGAGTGTAGGTGACGGGAGATCCCGAGAAAAGTGCGTGCAAGTAACAAAAAACCGAAGAGAGCCACAAAAGGACGCAGGATGAGGAAAGAGGGGAGATGGACTTTGATATCAACTATTCATCCCAAAAAGGGAGCCGAGAGAAAGCCACAGCGGAGGAATACTAACCCAGCGAGCCTTCAGGCACAGGGCACAATGCAACCCTTACCGTGAAGGCGAGTCTGGCATCTAGGCTAGGACAAGCAACACAGGAATGATCCGCTGGTTTAGGATTCTGCAGGATGCCAGTCCAAGAGATGAAGCACGAGTAAACGTCTTCACCCCTAGGCCGGGTAGTTGCTTTGCGGAATGTGGAGCAGACACAGAACAACCCTATGTAGGGGGGAAGAGGCCACGATCGTCAGGGGAGGGGAAGAACGTGCAAGAGGAATGATAATACATACACTTCACGAATTAACGTGTTCCAAAAGAACCTCCAGGGAGACTGGAAAGAGGCCGAATGATGGGGAGATGGATTGGTCTATGACTCAGGGTACATCCACACAACGGAGTGGACGACAACCAAAGTCACGAATTAAGACCAAAGATTTCTGTGAGAAGGAGAGAAGAGATGTCAGTCGATGAGGTCAATGACAAGGCAAAGCAAGAAAGCAAGCGCGGCAGGTTATCAACGAGGTATGTGTTGCCCCGGTGTTGATCGTCGTTGAACGCCCCGGTATGTTGAAGTGGTGAACGTCCAATGTCCAACCCTGGTATAAGATTTTCAGGGCCCCCTTAATTCCAAGGCTGGTAGCAGGAGAAGGAAAGGAGATTGCATTGAAAAACAAGGTAGCGCCCTGAGGGATGGCACCTTGGGCAGGACAATCCTGACTGTGTTTCATATGCATATAACCCAAGCCCTCCCCTGATGCCTTCCCAATGGCTTCTTCAAAGGACTGATCTCATCCAAATGTGGAATTTGCACCAGTATCTGGGTTTCCAGGGTTGAATTCATACAATGGAGGCAACGAAGAAAGTGACAAACGGCTGGGCGTGCGGTGTGATCGTGGGCATATGTGGTATCGGGATATCAAGTCCAATTCCAACCGACTATGACCGACCAGCATGACCCCTGTTGCAATTTCGCACATTGTCCACCTCCAACATAGTTGGCCAAAAATCGTTCAGTCCACACAAGGATTCTTCCATTTGATGTCACACTTGAGAGCGAGGTGTATGATATCGACGGTACCGGGGGGTTCTTGGGGAAAGTTCCGACATGTGGAGCAATCCTAACGAAACGCAAATCCTGTTGTGTACTCACCCAGAGCAAAACAGTCTCCAAATCAATCAAAAACCTGAAAACAAGCAGTCTTCAGATCATCCGAAGAGGGTTCTTCAAGATGATATCCCCACAATATCGCTCGTCTAACCGGCAGGAGCGGGATCAGGGAGTTCGTCGAGGGGAGGGTCCGAGGGATCGGGAGGGCACCGGCGGACAAGGACGAAGGGGTGGGTTCGCCGTTTGAGCTAACAAACGTCGAGAATTGGGAGGATCGTCAAGACCGAGGAGGGGATTCGACTCGACAGGAGGTCCAGTTGGAGCAAACTGAGAACGGGGAAGCGGGCACGCTCGGGGATTCTCAGCTAGTCGACCAGACTCCGGGCTCTCTCCACAAATTGGCAAGGGGAGGGGGGAGGAGAGGAAGAAAAGGGTATAGAAGAAGAGAAGGGGAGAGAAGAGGAGGAGGGGGAGGGAGAGGTACAAGGAGGAGGAATTTAGAATCTCTCTCTCCAGGCGGATGGTGGGAAGAAAAGAAGAGAGCTGAGACAAAAGACACGGAGATACTGGGCCCAGCTTTAGCTGTGCGGTACCGTCATAACGTGTGTTTTCCGGGTGGAGGCTGAAGTTGGTGTATGCCGTACAGGTACCAAAAGTACGTACAGTATCGTCTTGAATTTCCTAGGATTTCGGTGGATTGGGGGTGGACCTGGGGCGGGTGTAAATACCAAATTTCCGTGGTTTCACGTATTCATCTCGTAAGGAGGCGGGGGGAAGTGCCCTTTACCCTCGTCCTGCAAGGACAATGCAGGCTGGATATACTCTAGGGGTCTTCTCGAGGTTGGAAATCATCTTGGAATCATAGCCAATTTTCTTCCAAAGGTTCTAGCCTTGTCATTTGACCGTCCTACGGGGTTCAATGAGGTGGTCGTCTACATACATACAACCACCAACTCCGTATTGCCGAATCCTCGGTATCGAACGACGGTTTACACCGACCTCCACTTCCAACCTTGCCATGGCTGGAGCATTGAAACCCGACACTCGCGTGAGTACGGAGTACTGGGGAATGATTGATTGTTTAAAGCACCACGAACCATTCATCGATTTCCCCTGCCCTCCCAAAACACAACTAGATAGGCAATTCATCATCATACCTCGTAAGTTCAATGACACCTACACTTTCTTCCCGCTCCCTTTTCCGACTACTGCAAAGGACAAGGAATCCTCTTCTCAGGAGTTGAGGTCTGAGCCCTGAGTGGCCCTTGCTCGCGTGGGAAAACGGATCCATTACGCTCCTCCTTCAACTGGGCGAGATGTATCGACCACTTTGGATAAAAACGGAACCTCCTATGGGCTCCAAGGACTTAAACCTCTAACAGCCACCTGGTCGGATGTACATAGAATCTCAGGCCAGCCAATGTTTTTTCTCGTGTCTTGTCCTGATAAGGGTTCAATAGCATAGGACTTCCAATCAACCAAAGGCTGAGTAGTTCGGCCCGGACAGGATGTAATCGCGTTTTCAACTGGACGCCGCGACCCAGTCATTTTGCTCCGCATACATTAGGTTGATACCCAAAAAAAACTACAGTAAATAATTTGGAGCAGTATTGCGATCATCGGGAGCCACTGAAAAGCAGGCGGGAACGTTCTCGAAAATCGCCCAATACAGGCACTTGCTCCTTGGCTGGATAATGGTGGAGAGATCTCCGTCGCGACCGGCGAGACAGTTCAGCCCATCTGTTCCAGGAGGCATTTTAGGCCAGCCCTCGCTCTTCCCCTTGAATAACCTGCACGAAGTTGCGTTTGAGAGATGTGTAAATGAACCAATGTTTCGCATCGACGTCAAACTACAAAATACCCGCGAGGTAAAACCACCCTGACAGCAAAGTCAGTACGTACAGAGCATCACCGTCTCACTACCTTAATTTCCACCGTACTGTAGCTTCCACGAACTCCGGACGGAGGGTACTACACATATACCGTATTGCGAAGTAGAGCTGAAGCTACTAATAAGCAGTAGTAAATTCCTAGCATAGTGTATTCAGGTAATCAGTGCCCCGTACCAAAAAAGAAACCATTTAAAATCAAGTCACTCAAGACGCGCTCTTCCGGCCCCAACGATCGCCTCGTAACCGTGTATCATCGGTCATGCCAATCCTCCTCCGCTGTTGGCTCGTCAGAGAAGTCCATCCCCTGGCCCAGCTAGCGCCTGCACTGGCGTGAATGGTTCACCCTCTAGTCTTCCGATACGGTCGCGTTCCAGGGTCTCCTGCAGCCTACGCTTCCTGACTGGCCCGGCGCCCAGGATTGCCCTGGCATTGACTTCATTGCGACTCCTTCCTCCACCCGCACGCCCATTCGCGTCCCTCTCAGCTGGGATGTGGATGTGGAGATACGCCTTGGCTGCAACTCCTTTAACTATCCAGCTAGTTCGACTAACCAAACTAATAATAATTCCCCCATAGTGGCCTAAGTCGGCGCTCTCATGGTCCTGGGTCCCCCCCCCCCCCCCTTCCCCTTTCTCAGACCCGAGCCTCCTTTGTCTTGCAGGGATCTCATCTCGCCTGCGTCCCCATGTGGGGGAGGATTCGGTCGCAAGAGCAGGTTCTCTAACTCGACTATGTATGCGTACTTCGTCCGCGCGCCTCCCAAGAAAACTATAGGCCCACGTTCCCCGATCGTCTTCCATGGAACTTGTTCTCACTGGAGACGGCTTTCTTCGTCCAACGCGTCGGTCCGTTAATCCTGTCTGTAATCCTCTCAATTTCAGACTGCGTGAGTAAGGCTTCGGCCTCGACCTTCTCGTTGCGGTCGAGTTGCACACGCAACGACTTCTTTTCCCAGGCTTCCCTGCTGCATCTCGGATTCTAGGCACTATTGGCATTTATCTGCCGCCTGTGAGACCTAGGTGATAATGGTGATTTGTCCCCCGGCTTTGCTAACCCAAGATAAGGTTTGCACAGGGTAGATGTGTCTACCGACTCTCCCTTTTTCCTGCACTTCAAGAAAAAATCGTTCTCAGAATGAACAATGGAAACAAATGATGCACGTCAAGTGTACATATCTCATCTATCTCAATACTCCACCCTCCACACAAAGTAAACTATGTAAACATCATCCACTTCAGCCATGGGCGCATGCGACACTCCCAAATTCTCCATCTTCCGTGAATTAGACTCTGTGAATCGAGCTAACCCCAGCCAATAGTTTCCATAAGAGCGCCTCCACTCTATCCGGAATATGGTACGACTCGGGGCTTACACGGAGTCTCCTTGCTTTCGTCCCTTACCAGACGCGCTGTAGGGTTGCCAGAGAGGTTTAACTTCAGCCACTCGTACAATAGCTAGATCTCCACAGAA